CCTCTCCAGAAAGCCTGGATGATCGTGGCGGCTTTAAAGAGCCGGGCCAGGTTCCTCCGCACGCAGTAGCCACGCCAGGTAGCTTGGATGATGGTGGCCCGTCGGTGCCACACCCTGACGGTGCGGCGCACCAAATATCCACGCACGGACGCCTGGATGACGGTCACCGCCCGGATGATCAGTTCCTCCACGGTGGTGGTGCGCACCAGGCTTCCCGGCTGCCTGCGATCCACCGCCGCCTCTCTGCCCCCGGCGGCCCACGGGACGGTGGCCCTGGCCGGCTCCCGGGGAGTGGCCGCGTGGTCCATGGGACTGACTGCTACATTGGGGGCCGCTGCGTTCCACACTTGGCCACTGGCTATGCTAGTGTCCCCGGGGCCCTGGAGTACAGGGGGAGTCAGTAATGCCTTGGGAGCCATCATGGAACCCCCTAAGGCCTCCGCGCTCAGCGAGGTCTCTGGGTCCACGAGGGGCCTCCGGGAGCCACTGGGTGAAGACTCGTAACCCAGAGACACTCTCCGAATCCCCTGAGTGAGCTTAGGGATGGCGTGGCCGTGGGCCCCACTGCTAGTGTGGAGAATGGGAGTTAAACCGGGCGTGGGCGTGACAGGGGAAGCTTTGTCACTCCCCGGGGACCGGGCTGTGTGCTTCTGCACCGGAGGTGGGAGCAGAGCCTTCCCCCCGGAACCTTCTAGAAGTTCAGAAACGATACTGCCGTGCAGAGACCTGTAGGATTTTCTAAGGCCGAGGGGCTGAGAGTGGCTACGATGGGTGGGTACCCCTGACTCTGGTTTCTGGACCACGCTGGGGACAGATTTCATGGGAGAGTGACTAGATCTGACGTTTCTAGCCGAGGACAGATAGGGTGACACTTGAGACACCACGTTGGGGGTTACCGATCTTTGAGAAACACTCGGGGTCACCACCCCGGCCACAGAACTCCTACGCACGTTGGGTGCCACAGTACTGCTGTGAGCCAGCAGGGGAGACCTCGAGCCTGCAGCAGAAGCCACTGTCCCCTGGGAATGGCTTTGGGGTCCAACGTGAGCCACAGACTTTGGGGACAAAGCAGAGGGGGTCTCGGTGACCGCGGGAGCTAGGGACTGATTTGAGGGTCTACTCATTTTAGACCGGGTCTGTTCGCGAGGGATCACGCCAGCTGCAGAAGTTGGCTGCAGAGTCGGGGTGATGTGGCTGGCTACGGGGTGCTCGACCGGACTTAGAGGCTGAAAAGGGACAGAGACATCCCTGTGGGTTGGATTGGAAGCCACCTGCCTGACCGATGGCGTTTGGCCTTTTGGAAGACTTTCCTGCTTGTACTGCCCGCGGTGGTATTCAGCCTCGATTCCCGAGGAACCAGGGTGTAGCCACGGGGTGGCCTCGAGCACCACGGATCTCTCAGACTCTGCACTGGACAGCGACATCTGAGAGGTGGCCTTGGCTAACCCGCCCAGCTCCATCTGCGGCTGGGCCTCTGGGTCGCCCACGGACGTCACCCCAATATCTTGGCTAAATTCTAAGGCTCTCGACAGCACCGTGGGCAGCTGGGATAGCAATTTGTTTGAGCCACCAGCTTTCAAACCGGAAGCGTGGGCACGAGCCACGCTGGCGACGTGGGATGTCTGGAGAGGTACCGCGGACCCCTCCCCAGCTGGGGCTCCCTGGGAAGGACGAGGGGTGATCCCAATCAGCATAGAGCCCTGCGGGAGGTTCAGGATCACGCCGGAGGTCCCCAGAGCAATGGTCGTGCCCATTCCAGGGGAACCCCGGGGCAGGATGGGCGTGGCCACGGAAGCCGTGGGGACGATGGTCAGATTTACCTTCTCCATGCCGGGACTGGGGGCTATGAGACCGGGGGTCACAGACGCTGCAGGAAGGCCTTGCCCTACACCCCTGAGCACAGACCCCGCTGGAAAACTAGAATCCAGGTCACTGGACGCAATCCACGGGGACTTGGCTGAGGCCACGGACCCTGCTGACACGCCCACTGCAGAGTCCCAAGGGATTCTATGGGAATATCGAGAAGTGGACGGGTCCACGGACGGTGCAGAAGTGCGTTGATGATCCAAAGGGAGGCTGGGGTCTATCTTGGGAACCCCATGAGTCAAAGGGACCCCCACTTCCGAGACGGGGGATGGAGCAGGCACCAGGCTGCCGGCCCCCTGAGTTTGACCTTGACCTACATCAGTGGTTGCGTTTCCCCACGAGGTGCTTGCAGCTGCCGGAGCAGACGTGGTCCCCTGAGGCTTATTTAGGGACACGCTGGCAGCTAACCGTTCCTGTGACATGCTAGTAGTCCTGTCCCTATATAGGGTCCCCTGGGATAAACTGGGTCCCTGGGTCAGACAACAGTCCTCTGTAGACGCGTGGCAGAGATCGGGCGTGGAGACGGTGACCACAGAGCGACACCCACTCAGGGCTATCCCCTTCATGCCAAGGGGCCGGTGGGACCCAAGGGACAGCTCCCTGAACTTAGAGCCCTGGAGGTTTGGGTCTAGCTTATTACCTTGCCCCTGGGCCACGCTACTGGCCACACAGGGATGGGGTGGACACGGTTCTATTGAAACGAACTCAGACGGCTGACACAGGCCGGGAGCCACGGCGTGCACCCAGGAGGACGGCAGATCTGAGTCCTCCTCGGAGGCCCAGTCTGGCCGAGAGACGCACTGACCTGTCCCATAGAGCACCAGGGGCTGGGATGACCTCGCAGTCAACCTGGTGACCACAGAGGGCTGAGGCAGCCACTGGGTCTCCTGGCAGGCCACAGACACGTCGGGGAGCCGATATGCCACTGTGCAAAACGGAGGCAGCTGGCAGAGTGGAGGGGACAGCCCGCTGAGTACAGGTGGGTAACCAAGGTGGGGAGTCACCCCACTGGGCATAGGTGGGTGACCTAGGCCGGAAGCCACCACACTGGGTGCAGATGGCTGACTTAGGCTGGAGGCTGTCCCACTGGGTATAGACGGGTGACCTAGATTGGAAACTATACCAGTGGGTGGAGACGGGTGACCTAGGCCAGAAACCACGCCAGTGGGTACAGACGGGTGACCTACGTTGGAGGTCATCTCACTGGGTGTAGACAGGTGACCTAGGCCGTAGGCTGCCCTATTCTGTGTAGACAGGTAACCTAGGTCCGAGACCACCCCACTGGGTGTAGATGGGTGACCTAGGCTGGAAGCCACGCCACTGGGTGTAGACGTGTTATCTACGCCGGAGGACACCCCAGTGGGTATAGACGGGTGACCTAGGCTGGAGGCTCTCTCATTGGGTATAGACGGGTGACCTAGGCCGGAGGTCACCCCACTTGGTATAGACGAGTTACCTAGGCCAGAAGCCACGCCGCTGGGTATAGACAGGTGACCTAGGCTGGAGGTCACCCCACTTGGTATAGACGAGTTACCTAGGCCAGAAGCCACGCCGCTGGGTATAGACAGGTGACCTAGGCTGGAGGTCACCCCACTTGGTATAGACGAGTTACCTAGGCCAGAAGCCACGCCGCTGGGTATAGACAGGTGACCTAGGCTGGAGGTCACCCCACTTGGTATAGACGAGTTACCTAGGCCAGAAGCCACGCCGCTGGGTATAGACAGGTGACCTAGGCTGGAGGTCACCCCACTTGGTATAGACGAGTTACCTAGGCCAGAAGCCACGCCGCTGGGTATAGACAGGTGACCTAGGCTGGAGGTCACCCCACTTGGTATAGACGAGTTACCTAGGCCAGAAGCCACGCCGCTGGGTATAGACAGGTGACCTAGGCTGGAGGTCACCCCACTTGGTATAGACGAGTTACCTAGGCCAGAAGCCACGCCGCTGGGTATAGACAGGTGACCTAGGCTGGAGGTCACCCCACTTGGTATAGACGAGTTACCTAGGCCAGAAGCCACGCCGCTGGGTATAGACAGGTGACCTAGGCTGGAGGTCACCCCACTTGGTATAGACGAGTTACCTAGGCCAGAAGCCACGCCGCTGGGTATAGACAGGTGACCTAGGCTGGAGGTCACCCCACTTGGTATAGACGAGTTACCTAGGCCAGAAGCCACGCCGCTGGGTATAGACAGGTGACCTAGGCTGGAGGTCACCCCACTTGGTATAGACGAGTTACCTAGGCCAGAAGCCACGCCGCTGGGTATAGACAGGTGACCTAGGCCGGAGGCCGTGCCACTGGGTATACACAGATGATCTATACCTGAGGCCACCCCGCTGGGTATAGATGGATAACCTAGGCTGGAGGTCACCCCACTGGGTGTAGACAGGTGACCTAGGCCAGAAGCCACACCCCTGGTTACAGACTGGTGATCTAGACCTGAGGCCACCCCACTGGGTGTAGATGGATTACCTAGTCTGGAGGCCACGCCACTGGGTATAGATGGGTTTTTGAGGCCAGAAGCCGCCCCATTGGGTGTAGACAGATGACCTAGACCAGAGGCCGCCCCACTGGGTATAGACGGGTGACCTAGACCAGAGGATGCTCCGCCAGGTATAGGCAGGTGACTGAGTCTGGAGGCTGCCCCACTGGGTGTAGACGGGTGACCTAGGCCAGAAGCCACGCCCCTGGTCACAGGCTGGTGACCTGGGCCAGATGACATGCCACTGGGTGTAGACAGGTGACCTCGGCCGGAGGCCATGCCACTGGGTATATATGAATGACCTAGACCTGAGGCCGCCCCACTGGGTATAGACGGATTACCTAGACCAGACAACGCCTCACTGGGTGTAGACAGATGACCTAGACTGGAGGCCACCCCACTGGGTGTAGACGGATTACCTAGACTGGAGGCCACCCCACTGGGTGTAGACGGATTACCTAGACTGGAGGCCACCCCACTGGGTATAGATTCTGGAGGCCATGCCACTGGGTATAGATGGGTGACCTAGGCCAGAAGCCACCCCACTCGGTGTAGACGGATTACCTAGACCGGAGGCCATGCCATTGGGTATATGCGAATGACCTAGACCTGAGGCCGCCCCACTGGGTGTAGACGGATTACCTAGACTGGAGGCCACGTCACTGGGTGTAGACAGATGACCTAGACCTGAGGCTGCCCCACTGGGTATAGACGGGTGACCTAGGCTAGAGGTCACCCCACTGGGTGTAGACGGATTACCTAGACCTGAGGCTGCCCCACTGGGTGTAGACAGATTACCTAGACCGGAGGCCACCTCACTGGGTGTAGACAGATGACCTAGACCTGAGGCTGCCCCACTGGGTGTAGATGGGTGACCTAGACCTGAGGCCGCCCCATTGGGTTTAGACGGGTGACCTACACCTGAGGATGCCTCACTGGGTATAGACGGGTGACCTAGGCTGGAGGTCACCCCACTGGGTGTAGACGGATGACCTAGACCTGAGGACGCCCCACTGGGTGTAGACAGATGACCTAGACCTGAGGCCGCCCCACTGGGTATAGACGGGTGACCTAGGCTGGAGGTCACCCCACTGGGTATAGATGGGTGACCTAGGCCAGAAGCCATGCCCCTCGTTACAGACTGGTGACCTAAGCCCGAAGACACACCACTGGGTGTAGACGGGTGACCCCGGCCGGAGGCCATGCCGTTGGGTATATGCGAATGACCTAGGCCTGAGGCCGCCCCACTGGGTATAGACGGGTGACCTAGACCAGACGACGCCTCGCTGGGTGTAGACGGGTGATCTAGGCTGGAGGCCACCCCACTGGGTATAGACGGGTGACCTAGACCAGAGGACGCCTCACTGGGTATAGGCAGGTGACCTAGACTTGAGGCCACCCCACTGGGTGTAGACGGGTGATCTAGGCTAGAGGCCATGCCACTGGGTAGAGATGGGTGACCTAGACCTGAAGACATCTCACTGGGTCTAGATGGGTGACCTAGGCCAGAAGCCACCCCACTGGGTCTAGATGGGTGACCTAAGCCAGAGGCCACTCCACTGGGTATAGACGGGTGACCTAGGCTGGAGGTCACCCCATTGGGTATAGACGGGTGACCTAGACTGATGGCCACACCACTGGGTTTAGACAGGTGATCTAGGCTGGGCGTCACCCCACTGGGTATAGACAAGTGACTTTCATAGGGGGTCACCCCCCTGGGCATTGATGGTTGATCTAGACTAGACATCCCCCCACTGTATAGACATGACTGACTGATGCTGGGAGTCACACCACTAGCCATAGGTAGTTGACCAAGCCCTGAGACCACCCGCTTGATAGCAGGTGGCTGGGCTAGATTTGTGGACCCCCTACTGGCCGCAGATGGCTGGGCTAGCCTTGGAACACCCTCACTGGCTTCAGATGGGTGGTCGAGCCTCGGAGTCACCATGTTGGTCATCAATGACTGGGCTAGCCCTGGGGCCGCCATGTTGGTCATGGATGGCTGGGCTAGCCC